CTGGACTGTGGGAGGAAGCCGGAGAACCCGGAGAGAACCCACGCTGCACGGGGAGAACATGGAGACTCCACGCAGGAAGATCCCGGGTGTCCTCACCAGGACGCCAACCACCGACCTTCTAGCTGTGAGGCCACGGTGCTAACCACAGAGACACCTGCCGCCTCCTGAAAGAAACAGAAGTCACAAAAACATCCAAAGAATCAAACTACAATGACCAGAAAAGGGAACAGACCTAAAACAGACAGAAATGATTATTAATGACCACAAACTGACACAAAAAACTGAAATCCTAAACAGACTCCTAAATCTGACCCAAAGCAGCCAGAGAGTGGTTTAAGATAAACTGAACGACAGAAAAACTGAACAACAAAACAAAACAATAAACATGTTTGTGTTTGTAGTTTTATCAGATTGATTCAGGTCCAGCTGGATCTACATGAGCTCTTCTACAGACTCTTTACGACTGCAGGGGTGAACTTACTCTGAAGATTCTGGGGGCCCCTAACCCTAACCCTAACCCAATCATAGTCCTCAGGGGCCACAGATGGGCCCCTGAGGACTATGATTGGGCCCTGATTGACCCTTGAGGCCCCTGATTGACCCCTGAGGCCTCTGATTGGTCCCTGAGGCCCCTGATTGGCCCCTGAGGCCTCTGATTGGCCCCTGAGGCCCCGGATTGACCCCTGAGGCCTCTGATTGGCCCCTGAGGCCCCTGATTGACCCCTGAGGCCTCTGATTGGCCCCTGAGGCCCCTGAAGCCCCTGATTGGCCCCCGAGGCCTCTGATTGGCCCCTGAGGAATCTGATTGGCCCCTGAGGCCTCTGATTGGCCCCTAGCAATAAGTTCACAGGAGCTGTGTTTGCAGGAAAACGGTCGCAGGCAGAAGTCGAAGGTGTGCGAGACGTTCGATCACCTGTTTGCCATGCTGGAGGAGAAGAAAGGTGAGCTGACTCTGAGGATCAACAGCGAGCAGGAGGAGAAGCTCAACTACATCCGCAGTCTGACCAGGAAGTACACGGAGCACCTGGACGGCACTGCCAAGCTGCTGGAGACCTGCATCCAGACGCTGGACGAATCGGAGATGGCTGTTTTCCTGCAGGTGAAGCTCTGACAGTTTGATACCCGTTCGTGACAGTGATCAGGAAACGAAGGCTGCTTGAGTTGTGATTGGTTTAAAGCTGGTCACGTGATTGCCCTGATTCTCTGGCACATCGCTGTGGTTCCAGATAGGACTTAGCTTTGAGTACCCTAGTCCATGCTAGCATGCAGCTGTTATTGTCTAACAGTCAGTTTTAGCAGCTACAGCTTTAGCTAAACATTAGCTCAGCTTCCTACTGGTTCTGACAGACATCACATGACCCTGATCCTCCCTCTGCTGACCCTCAGTTCATCTTAAGATCATACTGATAACATTTAAAATCTGTCAGGGTCCGGGCCTCAGCTGCATGCTGCACCATACGAGCTTGCTGCCCTCTGATCCTCAGTGAGGCCCTGAAGCACTATCGTTTAGCCTAGTGGATGCTAAAGTGTTAGCATGGAGCTGCTATCATTAGCACAACAGTATTTCTCAGAGCTTCAAATGAAGACAACTGGACTCCTTTTTTAGGTTCTTGAAGACGTTCCACCTTCGGCCAAGAGAGTTCTTTAGTTCTAGGAACTCGTGTATCAGCAACCTTCATGTGGTTCTTCACTGAAGCTCTGAGGCCCACATGACCAGAGAGACTGAGGCTCTACTCAGACAGACCACAGAATGTTTAGTTTGTCATGTTAGCATCAGGCTGCAGTCACATCAGGAAGCTTTAGCATCAGACTGCTGCTGTGGACTAAAGTTGAATCTTTGGTTTCTCATCCACAGGCGGCAAAACCTCTGCTGCAGAAGTAAGTCTCTGTCTCTGACCGCAACAAGCGGCCATGTTTGTTATTGTTTGTTGTTGTTTATTAGTATTTCATATGATTTGTTATTGTTACTGTTTAATATTGATGTTGTTTGTGTTTGTTGCTGTTTGTTGCTTGTTATTGTTTATTTTGAATACTTTGTTGTTGTTTGTTATGTTTGTTACTGTTTATTTATTGCTTGATATTGTTTGTTATTGGTTTTAATTGCTTTTTGCTGTTTGTTACTTTTGGTTGTTATTTGTTTTTAAGATGGCCGTGTTTGTCCTCATCAGGATCGTGGAAGGAACCAACACGTCTCACCTGGACAAAGTTCATCCCGCCTACGAGAACATGGATCACTTCACGGCTAACTTTGAGCGTCAGAGGAGAGCACTGAGCATCCTGGACTTCATCAAACGTAAACAACACCGTCACTAACCAATCAGATATAAGGCACCTCAGTCATACACCTCAAGGGGTCTTTAGCAATCATTTCCATTATCATTAAGTATTTATTATTACAGCATTTAATTACACAAATATGTCATTTGTTTGCCAAAAGTTAACATAGAACTGCAGTAACGTATCAGTGTCATGTGTTAGCTGCAAACTGCTGTTATTAACCTACAATGTATGATAACTTATTAGCTCTGTGCTACTGCTACAGAAGACATTGCAAGTTAAAGTTCAGCACAGTGCTACTATCAATCAGCATATCTATACTAAGCTTATTATGCTAATAAATTCAGCTACATAGTGGTACTATCAATCAGCATAGTATAAGCTAATGTGCTAGCAAACTAATGAATTCAACAACAAAGTGCTACTCTCTAACATCACAGTGAAAGCTTTAGATGTTAAAATATGCATTCTAAATGTAAACAAGGGAATAAACTTGCATGTAGCTAAGAAGATAGCATGCTGAATGTTTATAAGTAACATGCTAATGTGTTAGCAATGAGATGCTAGCATTTACAAAACTATATATTTGCATGTAGCATTAAGATACGAGCATTAAGGGCTGCATATCAGCTTGTAGAAAAAGTGTTAGCACTAAAATACTAACATCAACAGTACTGCATGTCTGCATGTAGCATCTTAGTATGCTAAAACTGTGCTACTAACATAAAGTGTGCAATAATACGTTAGAATGTAACATGCTAATGCTGAGATCAAGGCTTAAGGGTACTGCATGCTAGCATGAAGTGTGCTACACTGTTAAAATTGAGCCTCTATCATACTGTGCAGTGCATGCTAATATGCTAGCATGCAGCATGCCAATATACATGTTAAAGTGTTCACATATTGATGCATATGGTTGGAATATGCTTTTGTATTAAAATTTAATTAAGGGCTAAGAGAGCTTTATGTTAGATAGTATAGTTGGCATGCTACACATTAGCAGGTAACATGCTAATGTGTTGTGTGTGTAATCACATTAGCACTGAGATACTAGCAGTAAGGCACTGTTTGTTAGCATAGGCATGTAAATGTATTAGCATTGAGAGACTAGCATTAAAGGCTAACATACAGCTAAAGCTGCACTCTGTCTCTCAGTTGATGAAGACGATGATGATGATGAAGACGAGGTCAATGTCAGAGCGTTGACAGGAAGTCGACCTGAGTCACAGCAGAACTTTACACCTGCAGGAGTCTCAGCCAATCAGCAGGCTCCTCTGCCAACTGTCATCTCAGCCCCGCACCCCCAGAGGCCCACAGAGACCCCGCCCATCTTGGCCTCACACACAAAGAGCCCCGCCCCTTCGTCATCATCTGCACATGTCCCGCCCCCTCTACCCCTCCCCACCGCCAGCTCCGCCCCCCAGGTGTGACATCACAGTTTAAACATTAAACAGCCACAGGTGTCTTCTGACCAATTACTTAAACTGAGTTCTTCTTCTTCTGCAGTCAGAGCAGCAGAGTGAGTCGGACGACGGACCCAAACACGTTTTCTCCTTCAGCTGGCTCAACCAGAAATAAAACCTGGACCTGGATCAGTGCGACCCGGTTCTTCCCTGTGCAGAACTTGAGTCCAAACTGCAGAAACATAAGCAGACCTGAAACTGTTCATTAGCGTTGGTGAAGGGAGAACAAAATGCCAAACAGAAACTCTTCTGATGACAGACTTTTTGTAAAGTCTGGAGGATGTTTTTTGAATCCTGAAATATTTGTCCTTTGTGTTTGCTGTTGGAAATAAATGGTTGTTTTATCATTGACCTCTTGTTCTCCCATCTCGCACTGAGTCTGAGTTCAAACAGAACTGTGCAGTTCCCCCCTGCTGCCACCAGATTCATGTCGACTGTTTTGACCACCAGTTGGTCCTCAGTTCAGCTGAAGGCAGTCACACTTTACATGCTGCTCTAGCAGGACGGTTAGAGTCGGAGGTCAGTCTGAGCTGTTGGAGATGAATCCATGGTTTGTTCTGCAGCGACAAAGCGTTCAGGCATTTCATTACCAGCGAAGAAGAATGAGTTCAGATGAGATGAGCTGAAATATTCTGATGTGCTCTCTGATCATGAAACCATCGAAAGAAGGCTGTGTGCAGAACACAGACGCTGTAAACACGTTCCTATGTCCTGAAATGTGAGAACATGATTTATTGTGAAAGCAGCTGTACGGAGGCCCAACAGGGACTTTATTCACCGTCCATCAATAAACAGGTGAAGTGATAAATATGTACAAACACAATAAAGAAAAGGAGATTTATGGGATATTCACGCCAACAATTACTGAACTATGCATTCAAATTATCCATATGTGGAGTCACCACAGCTTATAGCTTTATTATATGTTTAATAGTGCATGTAGCATGTAGCATGCTAAAATGTTGGCATGAACCATGCAGTGTTGGCATGCTAACGTGTTAAACATGTTAAAGTGCAACACGTCAAACAAATCAGACTTCCATTAGTCAGCCAATGTGCAATGTGCAAAATAGAATAAGAAATACATTTTTAATTAAGGTGAAAAAGTTAAACATGAATCAGAAATAATTACAAACAACAGTTGATTTAATGCAAAGCCAGTAATAAGTAAAAGAAACATTAAAATAAATTAAAAGCATGTTTTTCTAACAAGGAAGCCGTTGCCTTCATTTGTTCCTGGTTTGTTTTTTTGACTTATTTTTATTATTCTACTATCAATTATATCAGTTTTATTTCAACATGTTTCGTTTATAAAGTAACAGTAATGACGGAGGATGGACACATTCATCAACAAATACAAAAACAAATTGTTAATTGTTCAGTAAACAATTAAAATGTCGTCATTTTGTTGCTTTTCTGTAATTATTTTAGATGTGTATGAATGCAAAGTTTAATGAAATAAAATATAAAATCGTAAATCATTCAGTAGGTTGAAGTTTTGAACGTTTAGTTTCTTTCTGATTGATTGGATTCAGCACCTTCAGGCTGCAGACGTCCATCTGGGACGAGATTCCGTTTGTTGGTTGAACGTTTGGAATGAAAACAGCTGAAACTTCGTTCATGTGGAAACACTGAACGCAGCTCAACGTTTATTTCTACAAAACACTTTGAGCTTCTTCACTTCCCGAAGGTGTCCATCATCTTACGGTTGCTGTCGGCCTGCTGGGCCATCTGCTCGGCCCGGGCCATCTCCAGAACCTCCCGCAGCAGGTGGAACGTCAGGTCCAGAGAGATGGGCGGCTCGTCGGACCTCCTGACCTTCTGCTCCGCCTGCAGCAGAACCCGGTTCCCTGCTGAAGAACTAAGGAACCTCGGAGCTGCTCCCAGCCACAGGGAGAACTCCTCCCCCAGGAGGAGCAATGGTCCGTGGAGGCGACCAGCAGAACCGTCAGTGGGTCGGCCGTCAGCACAGCGAGGGAGGAAGGAACCGAGCAGAACCACGACCCACAACAACACATTCAACTTCATCTCACCGCCGCAGTCTGCAGGAGGGGAACATGAGGGGAACATGAGGGGAACATGAGGAACAGGAGGAACAGGAGGGGAACAGGAGGAGAAGATGAGGGGAACATGAGGAACATGA